CTGACGCGGGGCTCGAACTCACGGACCGCGAGATCGTGACCTGGCTGAAGTCGGACGCTTAACCGACTGCGCCACCCACGCGCCCCCCTCTGTGAACATTTTAAACATACCTATTTTAAAGTCTCTTTTAATCAGATTCTGCATTTATCTCTGATTCTTCAGGTGTGGATTCTCCCATTTGTTGAGATTCACACTGTCTTTATGGTCCTAAACATCTCTGTATGCTCTGTATGAAATCATACCTTGGGGCACCTGAATGGCTCAGTCGGCTAAGCGTCTGACTTCGGCTCAGGTCATGATCTCACAGCTCGTGAGTTCAAGCCCTGCATTGGGCTCTGTGCTGACAGCTCAGAGCCTGGAGCCTGCTTTGGATTCTGTGTCTCCCCTCTCTCCTCCCTTCCTCTACTCGCATGCTCTCTCAAAAATAAATATTAAAAAATTAAAAAAAGAAATCATACCTTTCCATAAGGTTTACTCCTGGGTACTCCTTTACATTGACTCCTTTCCCTGTTGCTCTGGCTATGACTATGGGTTTCATTGCTCTGCAACCGGTTATTGTTAATCTCATTCCAGGCTTTGTGAGATAATTAGCCTGTTCCCAGTCCTGTAGAGGTCCCTGTTTCCATTCCTAGGAGAACTCAGTGCCCACTCAATGCCATGCATGGGACATGTTTAATTCCCATTCCTGTAAGAGTTAGAAACCCTGGCCACAGTGCTTGCGTCCATTTCCAGATCCCAATGGGTTTCAGCCTTTGCTTTTGTGATTTCTCCTATAATTTCTGGCCAATAGATGCAAATATGTATACTGGTGGCACATTTTATATAAAGATTAGTGTCCATAAAAAATCTCAAAAACTGACCATTAGGTAAACAGTGTCCAATAGTTTTTTTTTTTCTCTCCAGCACTGAGAGATTGGGGCTTGGCCACATGTAGTTAGATTATACTTAGAGGCAATGTTAAGACAAAAAAACAACAACTTATTTTTAAACAAAATAAAACCTGGCACTGTGAGAGATTTCTCTCTCTAAAGAGATTTCTCTTTAGGCCTCTATGGCAGGCCTAAAAAACTGAGCCAAACTGAGGTAACAGCAAATTCATGTATCTCATCTCACACTTCAACAGAGAAAACGGTGAAACTACTATCTTTACTATTTAAATTATTTCTCTCTCTCTTCTTCTTTTGCCAAGTACAGGTAGCTAAATTTGCATTAAATTAAATATGTATAATGCAACTATATATGCCTACCTACAAATACATGTATCTTACATACCTTTAAAACAAAATTTTCAAATTCCTAATATATTGGAATAGGTTTTAATTTTTTAATGGAATGCCAATGTTATGAGAATACTAATTATAACTATTTATAAGGGGCGCCTGGGTGGCTCAGTCGGTTGGGCAAATGACTTTGGCTCGGGTCATGATCTCATGGTTTGTGGGTTTGAGCCCCACATCGGGCTCTGTGCTGACAGCTGGGAGCCTGGAGCCTGCTTCGGATTCTTTGTCTCCCTCTCTCTGTCCCTCCCCCACTTGTGCTCTGTCTCTCTCTCTCTCAAAAATAAGTAAAATGTAAAAAAAAAAAAATTTTTAATAAAAAAATAAGTGTTTATAAAAAAGCAGCAAAGAAGTATCTGTAAAAGTAAAATAAGACATATAACATAATGATTCACAGTATGGGTTCAAATCCTGGCTTTTCAATTTGTTTGCACTATGATCTTAAAATTGGCTTCTCAACTTCCTCATTTGTAACACAGAAGTAACATTACCTACCTCAGAAGGTGTGTGAGGATTAAATAAAAAAGTGTATGTAAAGTGCTCGTCACAGTGTATGGCATTGTTACATGGCATTAGCTGGACTTGTTGCTATAATGATTGTGGTACTAGATTACAGGAAATACTCATCCTTGGGAGAAAGAATTTTTAATTTACTATTGTATTTGGCAAGCAGTTTTCTTTTCTATTGCTGGTGAGAGTGTATCTTTCCATTTTAGATTCTTGGTAAACAGAGTTTAGACAGACAGACAAACTGATACACAGCAGGACTTCTTGACAAGTACCCTACATTCAGAAGATGTTTGGAAATGCCATGTTTCTCTACTCACATGTCTATGCAGCCCTCAGAACAGTCACATGAATCAGTAAACATGTTGGAAAAGCTGTTTAGATAATATGCTCGTGGCCACATAGTCCTTCTGTACTTAAACTGTGGAAGCTTTCTATTGTCAATTTCATTACAGAAAGAAATGGGTACCGATTCCACTCCATTGCTAATATCCACATCAGAAACAATTTCTTCTTGTTTTGGGTAATTCCGAGTCAACTGAACATAGGTATTGAAAGAAAAGTTATCTGTAAATAAAAAGTTACATTCTGTCTCAAGCAGGTAACGAAAAACTTCCTCCACGTTTCGTAGACTCCTTCCACAAGGGGTTCTATAACTCACGTGGAGTGCTGAAGAATGAGAGTTTGTCTTTGCGTGTCGTCTTTGGAAGTGGCATTTGATTGGTAGCTGCAGAGGGTTTTCTCCCTTGAAGGTTAGTGGCATTTTCATCAGACAAGTTCTAGAGCAGTCATGACTTTGGTAACGTAAATTCAGAGATGATTTCTTTTCTGTAATGTATGCAACTTTATTTTCCAAAGGAGGAATTTCCTTATTTTTTGTAGATCTGTTTAAAATTAATTATTCATTAGTATCTCAAATATATAGCACAATTCCCCATTTTTAAAAAACATTGTACACTAAGGTGCAATTAGTTCCTATTATCTTCTTTTTAGACATAATACAATAAGCCAGACTCTGAAATACACATTTTACTTATTATGTTCTGTAGCCATATAGAAGTTATACCTTAGGGATTTTTTTTCCTTTGGACACCAAATACATGGTGTCTACCTCTTCAACTGGGTGTCTAACAATTTGGTCCAATTCTGACACTATCTATCTACTTGGAGGCAGCATCAGCTCCCAGGTGTTAAAGAGCTCAGTCCCACAAGACTGTCCCCACTTCAGATGTGAAACACAAGTTCCAGGCCACTCAAACTTTTGACCAACCCAGGGGTTTCCACATGCTTTCCTCAAGTTTGATAATTTGCTAGAAAGACTCACTTTAATTACTATTACCAGTTTATAATAAGATACAACTCAGGGACAGCCAAATGTAAGAAGTGCATGAGGCAAGGTAAGTGGGAACAGGCACGGAGTGTTCCTACCCTCTCTGTGTGCACCACCCTCCCAGCACCTCAAAGCATTTACCAACCAGGAAAACTTCCAGAACCCTGTCCATTTAGAGGTTTTTATGGAGACTTTATTATGTAAGCATGACTGATCAAATCATTTGCCAATGGAGATTATCTCAACCTCCAACCCTTCACCCCTCCCTGGAGGTTGGGAGGTAGGACTGAAGGTTTCCAGCTTCTAATCATAATGTTTAGTCTTTGGTTGACTAGCCCCCACCCTGAGGCTACTCAGGAGCCCCTCGTTAAGAGTCATTTCATTAGCATGCCAAAGACATTCATTCTTCAGCCGACTCCAAAGGTTTTAGAGGCTACACAGGATCAGAACAAACACCAAGTATCTTTCCTATTATACAATAACCTAATTTCAGAATATTCCAGAAAGTTTGATTACAGGTGTAACTCCGTGCTACAGTACCTATCAAATTTAGAGTTTATTTAGAGGATGCACTTTGAGGAATGTTACTTCAGGCATGCTTGGGTTCGCTTGTAAGAAAACCGGTAAAGGCTAGCTAAAAAAATTACAAATTCATCAGGAATCCTTCAACAATTGTACCAGTTTTTTTCTGTAATATGTATTACACCTAGCACCATACTGACATATTTTAAAATAATCAACTGACATGAGAAAATGGAGAGGTTACTGAATTTAAGAAAAAAAATCTGTGAAAAGACTCCATGTATATGGAACTTGGGTTTTAATCTTTCTTCAGATACCTGAAGAAACTAAGTTTTACTTTACATAGTATTTTCTATCTTTAGGTATCTGTTATTTATTATAAAAGTTATATAGGTATTTTAGAGATATTTTTACAATTACCATATAAAGCAGCACTATCCAATAAAACTTTCTGCATTGATGGAAATGTTTCATATCTGTGCTGTTCAATTTGGGAGCCCCACTAGCCACATGTGGTGAATTATTCAGCACTTTTAAATGTGGCTAGCATGACCAGAAAAAATTTTTTTTGATTTTGATCAATTCAAATTTAATTTTAATTCAAATAATTCAAATTTAAATAGGCACATGTAACTAATGGCTACTTACTGAAAGCAGAGATATGAAGTTCCCCATCCCCTTTCTAGCTATATAGCAATCCTTTGCATAAATTCCACAAGTTATTTAACTAGTCTTCTGTTGTTTCCAATCTTTTGCTATTACAAATCATTATGCGGTGAATAACCTTGTGCATAACAATTTCATACATGTAAAGATTATCACTTCGGAATACATTTCCAGAAGGGGCAGTACTAGGTCACAGGGTAAATGAATTAGTAATTTGTAAAGATTGCCTAATTGTTCTCCATGGGGTCAGCCCTTTGAGCAATTTATGAGAGTACCTGCTTTTGCAGAGCCTTATCAGACAATGGCTCTTGATGCTTTGGGATTTTTGACAATCTAATAGATGAAAGGATGTGCTAGAATATATTTAATATAAACCTTTTAATGTAAAAAACATTTGTTTCCAATTTTCCTGTATGTTACTACTTTGATCAACATCCTCATACATAAATCCTTGACCAAATTCCTGATTATTACCTTAGGGTACATTTCTTTAAGAAGAGTTACTAGGTAACTAGAATACACATTTTAAAATAACCTCTTATTAATAAAACTTGCAAACTTACATAACTGTGTATTTTCTCATTAAAAAACCTGATACATTGGGGGAACCTGGGTGGCACGTCAGTTAAGCTTCTGACTTTGGCTCAGGTCATGATCTCGCAGTCCATGAATTTGAGCCCTGAGTCAGGCTCTGTGCTGACAGCTCAGAGCCTGGAGCCTGCTTCACATTCTGTGTCTCCCTCTCTCTCTCTGCCCCTCCCCCACTTGCACTCTGTCTCTCTCTCTCTCTCAAAAATAAACATTAAAAATTAAAAACAACAACAACAACACAAACCTGATATATTGGATCCCCATATACTTGTAAGAACTGTAGAACTCTTAGCACATGATGCCTCCATCTAAACCTGTGCACTACCACAACAAAACTCCAGCAAGGCTTCTAGCAGCATAAGACCAAGTCTCTGGGATGACCCAAGCCCCCCCACTAACATGCCTGCCTAAGAAAGCTCAAGGCTGTCAAGACAGTTCATGGTTTCTTGTAGCCAAAACCTGAAGATAAGCTCCTGACCTTCCTTCCTTAGAACAGTTACTAAAAAAGGGCTTACAATTGTGAATCTTTCTTCCATTCCTCTAAGATGTGTATTTATCTCCTACAACTCAAGAGTGCCTTTCTCAAGGTCCTGAAAGGCCTTCCTTTGAAAGTTAATCATCAGGAAGGGTAAGGCCTCTGTCTTCCAGTCTGTGGGAGGAGAGATCCTAACACTGATGATTCCCAGCTAGGACACATAGCTGGCCTCATAAACATTCACACTGACTCTTTGTAATTTTTCACTTGGGTTCCTCTCTTCTTCTATCTCTACTCCCTCATTTGCCTTTAAAACACTAGTCACCCCAGCATAAACTGGAATAGAGCTCAGCTTTTTTCCTTAATATCAGTAGTTACTGCATAAAATGTTTTCATCACTTCAATGTCTGGTTTTGTTTATCTTTGACACTTGTTACCAAACTTCAGTAGTTATCAACATGTTGCCTATTTTACTTCTATTTCCCCCCCTCTTGCCCCACACTAAAACATGGGGTATTCTAAAGCAAATCCTAGACATTACATCTTTTACCTGAAATAATTCAGTATGTATGTCTAATAAATAAGGTTTTTAGGGGCATCTGGGTGGCTCAGTCGGTTAAACATCCGACTTCAGCTCAGGTCATGTTCTTACAGTTCGTGGGTTCAAGCCCTGCATTGGGCTCTGTGCTGACAGCTCAGGGCCTGGAGAGCTGTCTCTACTTCTTGCCCGCTCACACTCTCTCTCTCTCTCTCAAAAATAAACATTAAAAACAAAATTTTTTTTCAAGTAAGGTTTTTAAAAGAACCTACAATCCCACTGACCCATCTTCACATATCAGTGATTATCTTAAAATCTGAATCAGAACTCAAACAAGTCCCACACGTTGGATTTGATTCAGATGTCTTTTTGTCTCTAATCTTATAGCAGTGCCCCTCTCTCTTCATTTTATGACATTTATTTGTTGCAGTTGAATAACTGTGTCATTTGTCCTGTAGCATTTCCCACATTCTAGAATTTGGTTGATGCTTCCCTTGTGGTGGTGTCATTTAACTTATCCCTCTATCCCTCTATTTGGTAAATCAGTAGTCAGTTTTAGAAGCTTGATTAGATTCAAGTTCAATTTAGGCGGTGGGGGGCAGGGAGGACAGTGCTATAAATCTTTCACTTAATAGTTTAGTTATTCACTCATTAACATTATCCAGGTCAATGCTACTCAAGGTATGGTGGTGCCATCCCACAGTGGTTGGCTACCAATTCATAAGCACAAAAATATAAAGTTGTAAAAGTTTAGGAACTTTTACAGCAATTTAACACTGCTGCAACATTTCATTGTATTTTATGAGTATTCATCCTCAATAAATTTGAAGTTTAAAACAAAACAAAACACCTGTTCTTACCACAATTAGTTTAACAGCACTGGCCTAAGGTCACTGTTTCTTTGGGAAAGAGGGGGAAGTTGTAAAAATAACAATCTTCTAATTCTACCATTTCTACTGCAGTTTTTGGCTGGAATCCTTTGATAAAGAGGAAATTTTCCTCATCAACTCTTGGGTTATCTGAAATACAGTTAATATAGGAAAGGCAGGATAAATGCTTGATTCTTTCTCTTTAATTACTAGTGCTCAGAATGGTGAGTTGTATCCTAGCAACTACCAAAGTGACTGATTTTTAAATTTTGTTTAATGTTTATTTACTTTTGAGAGAGAGAAAGAGAGAGCGTGAGCAGGTGAAGGGCAGAGACAGAGGGAGACAGAATCCGAAGCAAGCGCCAGGCTTCACGCTGCCAGCACAGAGTCCAACGTGGGGCTTGAACTCATGAACTGTGAGACCATGACCTGAGCCGGAAGTCAAACATTTAACCAACTGAGCCACCCAGGCACCCCCAGTGACTTTTAAAATGTTATTTTTAAAATTTAAAATGGGTTTTTAAGTATTTAATGTGTTTAAATCAATCACAGTGATTATTCCTTTTGATATCCAAATTGTGCCATTTTTTGGTCAGTGGGAGCTCTTTCAAGTTTGCTCCTATCTTTCTAACACACTTGGTAGTCTTTGATAGCCTTCTTGCTTTCTGTCACAAGATGCCCCAGGTCTGGAGTTAGCCATTTCTCCAAAGGACTATGGTTCCACTTAATGAGCAATAACATTTAGAGACCACAATCATGGCACTAGGAGGTACACACATTTTAACCAATACAGGCTAACCAAACCGATTCTCAAAAAGGCCGGATCAATTTATACAGTATGAGTGTTGATCAATTGATTATTCTAAAAATTTTAACCGATTTGATAAATGAAAAACAGTACTTTATTACCTCCTTAATGTTTTTCTCTAGGAATAGAGAGATTGAACATAATTTCATGTTTACTGGTTTTTCCCTTATGGTTAACTGTCTGTTCATATGCTTTCTCCAATTTCCTATCAGGGGTTTGTTTGTTCATTCACTTATTCATTCTTCCATCAGATTTTTTGAGTGCCTGCTATGCACCAGATGCTACAGAAGTAATGATGAAAAGCTCTGTGATCTCAAGGAGTTTACATTCTAGACAAAGAACTAAGTATATATAATAAAGTGTAAATAATGTAATGAGTAAATTGGTGATACATAATGTCATGGGAAGACATCTAATCTTTATTATTACTATGATTATTTTTTAGGATTCTAATTTTTAATTAATTAATTTTTCCATGAATTGGGAGCCCAGTTTCATCTGGAATTTATTCTGATGTGCCATGAAGATCTAACTTAAATTTTCTAAATAATATCCAATTGTTCCAGAGTCATTTACTGAATAACAAGTCTTTCTTTTACTGGATGACTTCTGACTTACTGACTTAACAATACCCCACATTCTTACAAATACATAAAAATGTTATTTTTTTCTATGCTTATTTGGTCTCTTGATGCAATTGTTAATTCTTCTACCAATGTGTTTTTTTTTTTCCTATAGGTTGACTCTTGATTTTGGCTCAGGTCATGATCTCAGTTTCGTGAATTAGAGCCTCTCAATGGGCTTTGCACTGACCTAGAGGAGCCTGCTTAGGATTCTCCCTCTCTCTCTCTCTCTCCCTGCCCCTGCCCCCACTTGCACTTGCTCTTGCTCTCTCTCTAAATAAATAAACTTAAACAAAATAAATAAATAAAAGAATAAACCAACTCTTGCATTTATGTTTGAAATAAAAATTTTAATGAAATAAATAGAAAATGAGAGAGTTTTGGTGGTAATTTATATGAAAAAGAATCTTGTATTTTAGTGATTTAAAGTGATTGAACTTGTTTTTACAAGGTAATGAAATTTTGTAGATCAGAAGACCAGAATTTCTGGCTTTCTCTGAGAGTATTTTTTTTTTTTAATTTTTTTTAACGTTTATTTATTTTTGAGACAGAGAGAGACAGAGCATGAACGGGGGAAGGGCAGAGAGAGAGGGACACAGAATCGGAAGCAGGCTCCAGGCTCTGAGCCATCAGCCCAGAGCCCGACGCAGGGCTCGAACTCACAGACTGCGAGATCGTGACCTAAGCTGAAGTCGGACGCTTAACCGACCGAGTCACCCAGGCACCCCCTCTGAGAGTATTTTAAAATAAGTATCAAACGGGGCGCCTGGGTGGCTCAGTCATTGAGCATCCGACTTTAGCTCGGGTCATGATCTCACAGCTCATGAGTTCGAGCCCCGCATCAGGCTCTGTGCTGACAGCTCGGAGCTTGGAACCTGCTTTGGATCCTGTGTCTCGCTCTCTCTCTGCCCCTAACTCACTCACATTCTATCTCTGTCTCTGTCAAAAATAAATAAACATTAAAAAATTAAAAAAATAAAATAAAATAAGTATCAAACTGTAATGACATCTCTAGTATTTGCAAATGCAAATCATATGCAAAATAGTCAATCTGTAACACTCATAAACCCTAAAAAAACAACAAAAAGAATTCTAGGGGAGCCTGGGTGGCTCAGCTGGTTAAGTGTCCAACTTGTGATTTTGACTCAAGTCACGATCTCATGGTTTGTGAGAGCGAACTCTGCACCAGGTTCCGTGCTGGCATCGCAACCTGTTTGGAATTCTCTCTACCTCACTCCCTCCCTCTCTGCCCCTCCCCTGCTCATGCTGTCTTTCCCTCTCAAAATAAATAAGCATAAAAAAAAAAATTCTACACTGACATTTTTTTTTTTTTGTCAATTTAATATGTAGCTGAAAAGACAAACAAAATAAGGCAATTAACTTAAGAACTTTCTTTATAAAGACACTTTTGTTTTTGAAATTGTTCCCTGGTGGGGCGCCTGGGTGGCGCAGTCGGTTAAGCGTCCGACTTCAGCCAGGTCACGATCTCGTGATCCGTGAGTTCGAGCCCCGCGTCAGGCTCTGGGCTGATGGCTCGGAGCCTGGAGCCTGTTTCCGATTCTGTGTCTCCCTCTCTCTCTGCCCCTCCCCTGTTCATGCTCTGTCTCTCTCTGTCCCAAAAATAAATAAACGTTGAAAAAAAAAAAATTAAAAAAAAAAAAGAAATTGTTCCCTGGTGTAGCACAAAATACTTTCAGGAACTTCCTTTAAACTACTTCTTAAAGGTTTTAGTATAGGTGTTACCTCCTAAAAATAAAGATTATGTGTCACAATGTCAGATTTCCTTTCATACGATTCTACTTTATGCTAAGGAATCTTTACTGAAATGGTAAAAGGAGAAAGAAACACTCAGAAAAATTTAGCCTATTCTCCTAAGTAATTTAGAGCCATTTAAGTATTTGAAAAGCTGAACTGGTACTGAAAGAAATACTGTTTGGGGCACCTGGGTGGCTCAGGTGGTTGAGCATCTGACTCTTGATTTCAACTCAGGTCATGATTTCATGGTTCATGTATCCCTCTCTTTCTCAAAATAAATAAACTTAAAAAAAAATACTGTTACCCTCCACTTTAAAAGAAATAATCTAGGACTGCTGGTTCAGGCAGTAGTGCATGTGACTTTTGATCTCCGGGCTGAGTTTAAGCCCCACATTGGGAGTAGAGATTACTTAAAAATAAAATCCTTAAAAAAAAAATACTCCAGGAAAAATAATTTTTTAGTTAAAAAAATTGCCAACTTGGTAGCTTTTAGTATATTAATAACATACACAAAGACATCTTTTTTTTTTTTTTTTAAGTAGGCTTCAGGTCCAACACGGGGCTTGAACTCTTGATCCTGAGATCAAGACGTGAACTGAGATGATTCGAGTCAGATGCTCAACCAACTGAGCCCCCACGTGCCCTATACACAAAGACATCTTAAGCTAAATTTTATTCAAAGACTTGATTACCTAGGGATGTTAACAAGTAAATACCTTGTTAAGAGACTCATGAACCTTTATCCTACATAAAATACTAAAATTTATGACTTTTCAAGTTGATGGGAAAAATTTTTTTTATATATTTTATCTATTCTTATGTCAAATGATTAGAAAGAATAATTCTCTTTCTGGAAATGAAAGCATTGACAACATAAAAAAAATTTAACCTATATACATACAGAAATGTACAGTCTTCTGGAAAGGAGTCTTCATATGATGTAGAAGGCAATGAACCTGATTTGTTTTCCTGTTCATTCTGGTTCACCGATGTATGATCTACATGAAAAAAATACAAACACAAGTATTAAGTATATCAAGTTAAGAATCATTTACTCTAATATCTAAATAATATCTTTATTGATTAGAGATACATGGCGCCCTTAAATCTGCAAACATATGAAAATATCAAGATTAAATTAAAAAATCAGGTGTGAATATTTTCAAAAATATTGACAAAATAAGATATGATCAAGTAAAAGACTTAGGGTAGAAGATACTTCTACTGGAGAAAATCTAGTTTGCCCTGAACTTTATTTGAATTTTAATCAACCTTTAAGGTAAACATCAAGTATCCTTATTTCTGCCTGTATTTTATAGAAAAATAGGGGCGCCTGGGTGGCGCAGTCGGTTAAGCGTCCGACTTCAGCCAGGTCACGATCTCGCGGTCCGTGAGTTCGAGCCCCGCGTCGGGCTCTGGGCTGACAGCTCAGAGCCTGGAGCCTGTTTCGGATTCTGTGTCTCCCTCTCTCTCTGCCCCTCCCCCGTTCATGCTCTGTCTCTCTCTGTCCCAAAAATAAATAAAT